CGCATGATGTACTCCTCATGTAAGTTAAATAAGCAGGGTGACAATACACAGCCTTCACATACTCCCTTTTCCCAATTTGGAACCAGTTAATTGTTCCATGTCTGGTTTTAACTGTTGCTTCTTGACCTGCTTACAGGTTTCTCAGGAGGCAGGTCAGGTGGTCTGTATTCTCATCTCTTGAAGAATTTTCATAGTTTGTTGTGATCTACACAGTCAAACTGTGGGGCTTCCCTTGTGGCTCAGCTTGTATAGAATCTACTTGTAATGTGGAAGACCTGGATTTGATCCCTGGGTTGGGAAGATCTGCTGGAAAAGGGAAAGGCTACCCACTCCAGTATTCTGGCTTAGAGAATTCCATGGACTGTTTAGTTCATGGGGTTGCAAAGAGTCAGACACGACTGAGTGACTTTCACACTCACACAGTCAAAAGTTTTTGCATAAATCAACGAAGCAGAAGTAGATGTTTTTCTGGAATTTTCTTGCTTTTTCTATGATCCAATTAAATCACTTATATGCAGAATCTGAAACGGTGATGTAAACAAACTTATTTACAAAACAGAAATAGACTCACAGACATAGAAAACAAAATTATGGTTACCAAAAGGGTTAGCAGTGGTTCAGTTCAGTTCAGTTCAGTCGCTCAGTTATGTCCAACTCTTTGTGACCCCATGAATCGCAGCATGCCAGGCCTCCCTGTCCATCACCAACTCCTGGAGTTTACTCAAACTCATGTCCATGGATGCCATCCAGCCATCTCATCCTCTGTCGTCCCCTTATCCTCCTGCCCCCAATCCCTCCCAGCATCAGGGTCTTTTCCAATGAGTCAACTCTTTGGGGAGATAAATTAGGAACATATATACACTACTATATATAAAATGGGTCTTCCCAAGTGGCACTAGTGGTAAGGAACCTGCTTGCCAATGCAGGAGATGAAGAGACGCGGGTTCGATCCCTGGGTTGAGAAGATCCCCTGGAGGAGGGAATGGCAATACCCTCCAGTATTCTTGTCTGGAGAATCCCATGGACAGAGGAGCCTGGCAGGCTACAGTCCATGCGGTCCCAAAGAGTCAGATGCAACTGAAGCAATTTAGCACACAGCATGCACATATATAAAATAGGTAAGTAGCAATGACCTACTGTATAGCACAGGGAACTATATTCATTATCTTGTAATAGCCTATAATGGAAAAGAATTTAAAAAGAATATATATATTATGTATAATATATATGTATAACTGAATCACTTTGCTGTACACCTGAAACTAACACAATATTGTAAATTAGCTATACTTCAATTAAATTTAAAAAAAAAAAACAACTGCTTGCCACTTAACAAGAGACTTTGGAGATTGTTCTACAATGATGTTGAATCTATATCAGTACTTATAGGTCTACTTGATTTTTTAGCATAGGCTATATAGTTTTAACTTCCATAAATATGTCATTTAACTTGTCTGTTGCTAATTAATTTTAAGGTTGTTTCTACTTTATTATTATTATAATGTTAGTGGATGTCCTTGTACATATATCTTTGTATATTTGTGTAATGACTGTATATATGTTATGAATAAGTGTATGTGATGATAATATATATATATATATATATATATATATGAGATAAATTCCTGATGTGGAATTTCTGGGTTAAAGCATATATACTGTTAACACTTTCATGTATTTTCTAACAGAGCTCTAGAATCAACTTATCAAAAATATTCTTGGGCTGGTGATTAGAAGTACACTGAAGTGATTAATTCATTTAAGGAGAATTGAAATTTTTACAGTATTTTTTCTGTTCAGATATGTGACCTGTCTCTTAAATTACTGTAGGCTTATGTGATTCTTGAAATTTTTTCCAATATAGGTCTTTTTTCTTAAGATTAATATACTGTAAAGTTTTTCTTGCTGTTATGAAAGGGACCTTTTTCATGATATTTGCTGACTGGTTATTGGAGATTTTGGGTTTAGCTACCTATTCTTTTCTTTGCTTTATACATTTTCCAGTTGATTCTCTTGCATATTCTTGGTAGCTGGTCATATGATCACCTTATAAAAATAGTTTTGTCTCTTTCCTTCAAATACTTTTTTCCCCCTTATTATATTGGATAGAAGATGTTCCCGTGTAGGGATGATAGTGCATATCTTGTCTTTTTCCTTATTTTGATAGGGCAGTACTTGAAACTACTGAGTGTTAGCCAGGGAAACGAGAAGTCTTCTTCTTTGTTGGTTTGAGTGTAAATTAGTACAACATTTACAATTTTTATTTATTGATTGATTTTGGCTGTGCTGTCTTCATTGCTGTGCAGGCTTTCTCTAGTTGCAGCGAGTAGGGGCTACTCTCTAGTTGTGGTGTGTGGGCTTCTCATTGTGATGGCTTCTCTTGTTGCAGAGCACAAGGCTCTAGGGTGCAGGCTTCTGTAGTTGCATTGTGCAGGCTCAGTAGTTGTGGCACGTGGGCTTAGTTGCTTCAGAGCCTGTGAAATTTTCCCAGACCAGGGATCGAATCCATGTCTCCTGCATTGACAGGCAGATTCTTAACCACTGGACCACCAGGGAAGTCTAATACAACATTTTTAAACAACTGTTTAGTCATACCTGTCTTAGGGCCTTAAAAACATACAGACTCTTTAACTGAGCAGTTCTACTACATAGCTAAAAATGTATGCAAAAATTTTACTGTCAGAGTATTGATGAAGAGACTTTTTGAAATAGCAAAAGGTTAGAAACAACTTATATTTCCAGTGGCAAGGAATTAGATAAATAAGCTACATTACATTTATTTAATGAAATAGCATATAGCCAATAAATAAGAGGTAACTACATATAATATAGTGGAGATATGCTCATGATACATTATTACTTGAAGAAATTGTGGTAAAGCAATATGTATAATATGTACAGTGTGACTCCACTTTAAGACACCAATTTAAATGTACATACTTGGGAAGATATATCCTAAAAAGTTAGCAGCAGTTATTCTTCACTGAATGGTGAGCTTATAGGTGAATTTTTGTTCTAAATTTTCAATAAAGTAAGTCAGTAATATATATTAATTACCTAGTGTTTGCAGATTATACAAAAATATGTGATGCTCCGTTTACTATTGAACCCCTACTTTGTGTCACACACCAATAACACAGAGATGAATAATAAGCAGTTTTGGCCTCATTTCTACCCTTAAAAAGATTATATACTCGCATGAGGAAGATGGTTTAAAAAAAAAAAGGTAGTTACATTAAATATGATAAGTGCTATTATAGAGAAAAACACGGGGCTGTGGGAACACAGAGCAAGGGCTTAAATTATAAGGAATTAGATTCCTGTAGTTTCTCCTTGGTTTATTAAACTGATACTAGGATTGTTTTCTACAGGTTGTGCTGTCCTTCAAACTCCACTAAGAAGCTCCTCAGCAAGACTTTCATCCTGAGACAAGCTGTGCCTGTGGATCTGTTCCCGCCACACCCCACACTGTGAACTGGAGCTTCTCTTCACTCCATAAGCAGCCTCTTACAAGCCTGTCAGCTCTTTGTTAAGGCTGAAGTGTCCATAACTTCCAGGTTTGCCATATTGTGACATCACAGACCTTGAAAATATTACTGAGGAAACCAATCTTTGGATCTTGACCAGGAAGAATAAGTGGGCCTCCTTCCCGAGGCAGATTTATAACCTTAGTTTTCAGATTCACTGGCTCTCATGCATATTTGCCTAGTTGTGACCATTCTTTGGCTGTGGATCTGAACTATTCCTTCCTTTTGCTGTCAGCTTGTCACAGCTCCCTTGATCCTAGTTTATAGCCTGTCTCCTCCATCTGGTTCTGGGGTGACAATTGAACTTTTATCTGTATGTGATCATAATTTCACATTGACTTGGGTATCTGTATTTGCCCAGAGATTTTACTAGATATGTTCTGCATTCATGAGGTAGCCGTGGATTAGAATTAGAAACAAGTCTGCTGCTGCTGCTAAGTTGCGTCAGTCGTGTCCGACGCTCTGCGACCCCAGAGATGGCAGCCTACCAGGCTCCTCTGTCCCTGGGATTCTCCAGGCAAGAACACTGGAGTGGGTTGCCATTTCCTTCTCCAATGCATGAAAGTGAAAAGTGAAAGTGAAGTCGCTCAGTCGTGTCTGACTCTTCGAGACCCCATGGACTGCAGCCTACCAGGGTCCTCCGTCCATGGGATTTTCCAGGCAAGAGTACTGGAGTGGGGTGCCATTGCCTTCTCCAGAAACAGGTCTAGCTTTTTCAAAAAGCAGAGTAAGCTATGAAGTGATTGCAGAGTGGCTGTGTGATCTAAGTAGAGCTTCATTCCTTTGGGTTTTCTAGGCTAGAACAGCCTTTAAAAGTGTGGTTACCCTTAAGAGCAATACCCCCAATTACCTCTCACCTGTGGAAGGAGAGGTGATTGTAGTAAAGACCCTATGGGAAAGGAGAACTTCAAAGAAGAAACTGAATACCTATAATTGTGCTGTGTAGTATGGAGGCAGAAAGTTCCAGAACCCCCTAATGATCGTATATACTATAACAAACTGGATATTTCTCTGACATTCTCTAGTGATGATTTCTTCAACTCTGGAGTTGTTCTTGGATATGTGCCCAACAATTTTTAAAAATTTTTAATTGAAGTGTAATTGCTTTACAAAATTTTGTGGTTTTCTGTCATACATGAACAAGAATCAGCCATAGGTACACCCATGTTCCCTCCCTCCAAGGCCTCCCTCCATCTCCCTCCATATCCTACCCTTCAGCCTGTTAGAGCCCCTGTTTGAGTTCCCTGAGTCATACAGCAAATTCCCATTGGCTATCTATTTTACATAGTATTAGTATTAAGTGTTCTTGCCTTAAGTATTAAGTACTTAAGTATTAAGTGTTTTTGTGACCCCATGGACTGTAGTCCACCAGGCTCCTCTGTCCATGGGATTCTCTAGGCAAAAATACTGGAGTGGGTTGCCGTTTCCTCCTCCAGGGGACCTTCCCAACTGTACATAAAGGAGACTTAGTTGATGTGCATTCGAGGATACCCCAGCTTAACCTGTTTTGGAAATCTGTCTCTTGAGTCTTTAAAGTCTATACCAATTCTACACCTCTGGTTGGCCGATTGCTTGTTTCTTTATTTAGGTTTAAAGGTGAATGACCTGGGGCTATTTATTTCCATCAACCTGATTGTGAATCTCAAGGCACAGTTGAAATGTCTGTTTTTCTTGCTATCTTCAGAAGAGATTGCTGCAAAGCTACTCTATGATTCTCATTCTTTTCAGCTTACAATACAAATAGCTTATTATTTTTTGCAACCTGTGTCTTATAATAAAGCAGTGCTGAAAAATTAGAAGAAAGTTCAGTTGCCATATAGGCTACGAAAATGATTTGCTGGTGGTGATTTTTAAGCTTGATTCTGAATAGATTTATGAAGAATGGCACTTGGAAGATGTGGGCCAAATTTTGCTATTTAAGGTATCTTGAAATTATAGGCTCACTCTTCCTAAAATTTCAAGAAGCATAGAGCTTAGGCTCTTAAGGGTATAGCAATGATAAAAGCTTTCATAGTTATTTCTAAAAAGCAACACTTCATAGTTTTCTCTCTCCAATGGTTCTCTAATATATCTGTAGAAGGAAGGCAACAGAAAACCAAGAATAAAAATAGCTGAGCTCTCCACAATTGGGCTTCCTGCTTACTTTCCCTGTTCAAAGAAAAGAGTTGACACCATCTTGCGATAGAGGCTTCATAGACAACTGGGCTTCTCCAGTGACAGTTGTCATTTGATGCCCCATATCTCTTGGTTCTTCTTGTTGCCAATTGTCGGCCTGGCGATGGTGGTGAAATGGGAGCAATTAATCTGTAGATGAGGGAGGGCTTCCTTTAACAGTTGAAGGGTACAGTCTGGCACCATTCCAAAGACTTGTAGTGTTTTTGATGTGGTAATTTCTCCAAGTTCAAGTAAAGTTTCAGGTATTACATCATAGCATTGACTGAGTGATAGGTGTTGGAGGTAGTTGAGTTGGTAAAATTCTGGAAAGCAGTCATTTTTCAGCATGACACTATCACTTAAGTCTAGGTGGACATGATTGGGACATCTTCCAACTAAGGTAGAGACATCTGATCTCTGCAGATTCTTTTGGTACCCACTGAGATTTAGCTGGGTGATGGTCTCTGACATAAGTGCAACAGCCACCTGTACATGCTTTTCAGTGAAATCATAGCACCAAGAAAGGTTCAGTTCATCCAGTCTGGAACAGCTGCTCAGCAAAGTCTTCAGGGCAGATTCAGAGAATCCAGAACACCCAGAAAGGTTTAGTCGCAGTAAATTTGTGTTCAGAGCAAGATTATCGACAATGGGATCTGAAAGTTGGAGGCCTTCCAGGCTGAGATTCTGCAACTTGGAGCAGTGAGACAGAAGACTGTGCAGGGTAGACACAGTAATCACAGAGTTCGACAGGTCCAGATGCTGTAGATGAAAAGGGCTGAAATGTTCAATTAATGGTTGGTCCATAAATGACTGTGGACAGTGGAAGGCAACCACCCCTCGGGATAAGAGCCGACCAACCACGTCTGGGTAGAGGTTTCTGCCTGCGAGGTCTACGGTCTGCCAGAGAGACTCATCAAACGCTAGATGATACCATCTCTTACAAACACTGGAAACTTTCAGGAGTTCAGGGAGGCACAGACAGGAAAAGATTCCTAAGGGCAGCTCGTCTGGAAGGGAGTCCCAAGAAACACCTGAAGAAACATTTTACACCCCAAGAAGCATTTCACATATGGTACTGTAAATTTCTATGTTACTTTCTCCATACATCTCCCCTTCTTCCTCCTCTCCTCCCCCCATGTCCATAGATCTGTTCTCTATGTCTGTTCCTCCATTGCTGCCCTGAGAATAAATTCATCAGTGCTATTGCTTTAGATTCCATATATATGTGTCAGTATACAGTATTTATATTTCTCTTTCTGACTTACTTCACTCCGTATAATAGGCTCTAGTTTCCTCCACCTCATTGGAACTGGTTCAAATGCATTCCTTTTTATGGCTGAATAGTATTCCATTATATATATGTACCATTGCTTCTTTATCCATTCATCTGTTGATGGACATCTAGGTTGTTTCCATGTTCTAGCTATTGTAAATAGTGCTGTAGTGAACATTGGGATACATGTGTCTTTTTCGATTTTGGTTTCCTCAGGTTATATGCCTCAGAGTGGGATTGCTGGGTCATATAGTGGTTTTATTCCTGACTTTTTAAGGAATCTCCATACTGTCTTCCATAGTGGCTGTATCAATTTACATTCCTACCAGCAATGCAAGAGTGTTCCCTTTTCTCCACACCCTCTCCAGCATTTATTGTTTGTAGACTTTTTGATGGTGGCCATTCTGACTGATGTGAGGTGGTATCTCACTGTAGTTTTGATTTGCAGTTCTCTAATAATGAGTGATGTTGAGCATCTTTTCATGTGCTTGTTAGCCATCTGTATGTCTTCTTAGGAGAAATGTCTTTTCATGTTCCTTTCCCACTTTTTGATTGGGTTTGCTTTTCTGACATTGAATTGTATGAGCTGCTTGTATATTTTGGAAATGAATCCTTTGTCAGTTGTTTCATTTGCTATTATTTTCTCCCATTCTAAGGGTTATCTTTTCACCTTGTTTGTAGTTTCCTTTGCTATGCAAAAGCTTTTAAGTTTAATTATGTCCCACTTGTTTATTTTTGTTTTTATTCCCATTACTCTAGGAGGCAGGTCATAGAAGATCTTGCTTTGATTTCTGTCATCAAGTGTTCTGCCTGTATTCTCCTCTAAGAGTTTAATAGTTTCTGGTCTTACATTTAGATCTTTAATCCATTTTGAATTTATCTTTGTATATGGTGTTAGGTAGTGATCTAATTTCATTCTTTTGCACATGGCTGTACAGTTTTCCCAGCACCACTTATTGAAGAGGCTGTCTTTGCCACATTGTATATTCTTACCTCCTTTGTCAAAAATCAGGTACCCATAGGTGCGTGGGTTTATCTCTGGGTTCTCTATCTTGTTCCATTGGTCTGTATTTCTGTTTTTGTGCCAGTACCATACCGTCTTGATGACTGTAGCCTTGTGGTATAACCTGAAGTCCAGCTCCATTCTTCTTTGTCAAGACTGCTTTGGCTATTCGGCATCTTTTGTGTTTCCATATGAATTGTGAAATTTTTGGTTCTAGTTCTGTTAAAAATGCCATTGGTAATTTGATAGGATTCACATTGAATTCGCAGATTGCATTTGGTAGTTTAGTCATTTTCACAATATTGTTTCTTCCTACCCAGGAACATGGAGTATCTCTCCATCTGTTTATATCGTTTTTGATTTCTTTGATTGGTGTCTTATAGTTTTCCATATACAGGTCTTTTGTCTCCTTAGGTAGATTTATTCCTAGATATTTAATTCTTTTTGTTGCAATGGTGAATGGGATTGATTCCTTAATTTCTCTGAGTTTTCATTGTTAGTATATAGGAGTGCAAGTGATTTCTGTGTATTAACCTTGGATCCCATGACTTTGCTATATTCACTGATTAGCTCTAGTAATTTTCTGATAGACTGTTTTGTGTTTTCTATGTATAGTATTATGTCATCTGCAAATGGTGAGTTTTATTTCTTCTTTTCCAATCTGGATTCCCTTTATTTCTTTTTCTTCTCTAACTGCCATAGCTAGACCTTCCAAAACTATGTTGACTAATAGTGGTGAGAGTGGACACCCTGGTCTTGTCCCTGATCTTAGAGGGAATGCTTTTAGTTTTTCACCATTGAGAATAATATTTGTGGGCTTTTCGTGTATGGCCTTTACTATGTTGAGGTAGATTCATTTTATGCCCATTTTTTGAAGCGTTTTTATCATAATGGATGCTGAATTTTGTCAAAGTCTCTTTCTGCATCTACTGAGATGATCATATGGTTTTTATCTTTCTGTTTGTTAATATGGTGTATCACATTGATTGATTTGTGTATATTGAAGAATCTTTGCATCCCTGGAATAAACCCGACTTGATCATGATGTATGAGCTTTTTAATGTGCTGTTGAATTCTGTTTGCTAGAATTTTGTTGAGTTTTGCATCTATGTTCATCAGTTATATTGGCCTGTAATTTTCTTTTTTCATGTTGTCTTTGCCTGGTTTTGGTATCAGGGTGTTTGTGCCCTCGTAGAATGAGTTTGGAAGTGTTCCTTTCTCTGCAATTTTTTGGACGAGTTTCAGAAAAATAGGCAAATTATGTTTTGAATCTTAGTAGCCTAATTAAATTTAATAATTTAAAAGTAGTTAAATTATGCTTTGAATCTTAACAGCCTAAGGACTTGTAACTTAGCAAGCACTGTCTGATTTACAAAGTGATATCAGGTCACCTAGTGTTTCTAATTCTTGTCAACCGTAAATACCTCTAGAGAAGCCTCTTTGTCAGAAAAATACGGCTTTTAAAGCTACTGTATGAAGAGAAAAAGCGAAAATCATTCAGTTGTGTCCAACTCTTTGCGACCCCATGGACTATACAATCCATGGAATTCTCCAGGCCAGAATACTGGAGTGGGTAGCCTTTCCCTTCTCCAGGGGATCTTCCCAACCCAGGGATCAAACCCAGGTCTCCTGCATTGCAGGTGGGTTCTTTAACAGTTGAGCCACAAGGGAAGCCCCATTGTATGAATATCCATATAAAAATATTAGAAGGAAATAGTCTCAAATGATAAAGAGTGTTGATTAATGGTAGTCAAAATAGTTTTATTTCCATTTCCCTATTTTTCATTTTATGAAAATAATATTAGTATATTATTTTTATAATGGAAAAATTTTAATATAAAGCATAAATGTAAAATGACTTATTTTCTCCTCCTTGGTTCCCTATCTACTAAATGTAAACTGGAAGTCAGAGTTATCTTTCTCATTCTCATATTCAATTGCCTACAAGGTAGATTCTTCCTGGATATCTTCTAGGTACTCTGAACTCAAAGTATCTCATTTATGTACTTTACATTTTTCTTCCAAACCTGTTCTTGCTTCTGTATTTTCAATCTTGATGAATATAACAATCTACTCAGTCACTCAAGCTAGAAGCCTGGGAATTATATCTGAGTCCTTTTCCTATACCCTCTGCCCACATGCAGCAGATCACCAAGTCTCCATCCTGCAGGTTACTTTATCTTACACCAGGCTATTATTGAAACGGCCATCTTCCCAACTTGTGCAGCTGTATTCATGCTTGCCCCCATCCATTCCATTCTCTGTAGCCAGAGTGAGTTTTCTAAAATGCCATTCTCATTGTTTCTCCAGTGCTTGAAATCTGTCTGTCATGGGCTTCTTGTTTTTAAAATAAAGTCCTAAATAAAATAAAGACCCTTCTTCATAGAGCCTCACAGCCCTTTCATCATTTGGGTAGCCTCATTTTTCTATATGCATTGAGTTCCTTTCCTTGAAAAAGACAAATTTCTTCCATTCTGGTCCTTTCTACATTCTGTTTCCTCAGCATGGAATATGCTTTTTTCTTTTGGCTAACTCATTTTTCTATATTTAACTTAGCTATTCCCTGAGGAATATCTAATGAATAAATATAGGATTAGTTGTAGATAATCAGCTTTGTGGTAATTGTTGTTAGTGTACATTGTGTAAGTAATATGATTTTAGACTTTGTGCTTTCATCATTTTTATAATGCAAACTTTTAAATATACAGGAAAGTTGAAAGAATAAGTATTGGGTTGGCCAAAAAGTTTGTTTGGGTTTTTCTGGAATATCTTGTGAAAAAACTTGGATGAACTTTTTGGCCAAGCCTGGTGTGCTGTAGTCCATGGGATCGCAAAGAGACACGACTGAGTGACTGAACTGATCTGAATACAATGAACGGCAGCATACCCACCTCCAGGATTCAACAAATATTAGCATTTTCCTAAGATAAGGAACTTGCACCAGAGTGTGTATTAGTGTACTACATCCTTCATTGAGGAAGTTTCATTTCCAGAAATATGTCAGGCAGATTAAATCCTGTACTTTATGACGTGCTTCATTTACATCTCTGGGCTGCCTGAGTAGTACTGCTCTATATTCAGATTTCCCCAGCTGTCCCCCGAATGTCTTTTATGGTCGGTTCACATGTTGCATTTGAGTATGGTCTCTCTTTAGTGTCTTTTAATGTAAAACAGTTTGCTCACTTTTTGTTAATGGCATGGACTTTTAGAGACCAGGTCTACCCCACGTATGAATCTGTCTGATTGTAGTGTGTGTGCCTAACCGTCCTGGTTTGCCTAGGATTCTCCTGGTTTAACACTGACCCTACATCCTGGAGAGTCCTCAGTCCTGGGCAAACTAGGATGGTTTGTTTTCTTAAGATTGTGTTTAGCTTTCCCTTCCAGCCCCCGAGTTTCCTATAAACCGGAAATTGTTGGGTTTAGAGGCTTGATCAGATCCAGTTTTTTTTTAAGTTTATTTTTAAATGGAGGATAATTGCTTTACAATGTTGTGTTTACAATGTTTCTGCTGTGCAACAATGTAAATCAGCCATAATTATATATATATATCCCCTCCCTAATGAATCTCCCTCCCCCTTCCCATCCCACCCCTCTAGGTTGTGACAGAGTGCCAGGCTGGGCTCTCTGTGTTATATAGTAGCTTCCCATTAACTATTTCACACCTGATAGTGTGAATATGTCGATTCTAGCTTCTCAATTCATCCTACCCTCTCCTTCCCCTACTGTGTTCACACGTCTGTTTTCTACATTTGCGTTGCTATTCCTTCCCTGCAAATAGATTCATCAGTATCATTTTCCTAGATTCCGTATATATGCATTAATATCTCAGCTGGTAAAGAATCTGCCTACAATGCAGGACATCCCGGTTCGGTTCCTGGGTCGGGACAATCCCCTGGAGAAGGGATAGGCTACCAACTCTAGTATTCTTGGGCTTCCCTGGTGGCTCAGACAGTAAAGAATCTGATTGCAATGCAAGAGATCTGGGTTTGATTCCTGGGTTGGGAAGATCCCCTGGAGGAGGGCATGACAACCCACTCCAGTATTCTTGCCTGGAGAGAATCCCCATGGACAGAGGAGACTGGTGGGATACAGTCCATGGTGTCACAAAGAGTCTGACACAACTGAGTGACTAAACACAGCACATGATATTTGTTTTTCCCTTTCTGACTTAGTTCACTCCGTATAACAGGATCTAGGTTTATCTACCTCACTAGATTCAATTTTGATAAGAATGCTTCATAAATATTCTGCATACTTCATGTAGCATCCATTAACAGGTACACACTGGCAATTGTCCACTCATAGTAAAGATGGTGGTTAAGGTCGTGGCCCTCAGAACTCTCCATGTAATTTTAATTTTCTCTTCCTAATTAACAATAAATCTGGCCTTACTTTGGTACCTTGTGACTGTCCTGTTCCTCAGTTACCTCTCACCTAAAAATTCAGCATCCATCAGTTACTGTTTCCTGACTCAGTAATTTTTTCTTCTGATTTTTAAAATGTATTTCCTGA